GTTTCATGTCTGACGAAGACTTTGCCAGTAACTTCGCAACTTTGTGGTTGCCGAGCGCAAGCTGCGACGTGATGCGGCCGTTATCATGATAAAAACGCTATTGAAAAAATTCTTCCTGTGCGGCAACCGTGTGTCACACCTTATCTTGTAATTATGAGCTCTTCGGACCCGTGAGAAGTCGCTGCGGTTGATATGCTGATAGCGCCATATGACTAAGCCAGTGTTGCCAGATTTCGATAGCCCATCTTCGTCATAGATCTGCTTACGAGGGAATAGGAAATATCCGTTTTGAGGTGTGATGAGGTAACCTCATCATGTTGGAAAGGTCTAACAAATGTTATTAAAGGCAGTTGGCACGATGATTTGGTGCTCGGCCTAAAATGCTAGTAGGGCGCTATATAGTGGGGAAATGGCGAAAGAACGGAGTGAAACGGTCAAAATCCTGCGAAGAAAGAGCCTCCGTTCTCAGTGTTCAAAATCAATTTTGGACGAGTTTCCCGTAGGCTTGCCAATAACCGCTACCGAAGGTACGGCTGCATATGTGTACTCATATATCCATGCAGCATCACGGCCGCTTCATACCAATCCCTTCGCTTCATAATTTGCTTAGCAAATGAATCGATTAGAGCGTCAGGAACGGTCGTCCATTTGTGGGCGGGCGGGCGTGGCGGGCGTTTTGTGGGCGGGTCGGAATGTTGTGGCTTGATAGGGCCCTTATAAGGGCACCTTCCTTGGAAAAGGCATTATGCAGCGCCTGCTCAGGGTCGCGGAATTCCGTCCTGCCAGGCGTATTAATCCTACTCGTCTTGGGGATTTATCGTGCCAACTGCCTTTGAAGTGGCGGAATTCTGTCGAAGAAGTCATGAACGAGGTGTAAAGAATAACTCAAGTTTGTCTATGTGAGGAACCTGCGAATGGTGGACTCTCCTGCTTGAAGTCCAACTTGTCGTTCGCATGAAATCCTGGTCTTCACGGGTTAAGCCGTCAGCTAGCCCCAATGTTTATGTCGAGCTTCCGTTCTTGAGTAAGGACCAGGAGGGGCACACCATCGTCTCAGGGGGACCG